AGTCAAGGTTTAGAAGGGTATTATTTTATTTTCAAAGAGCCATGTTTCAGGTTTAGTTTGTTTTCTGCTTAATTAACTTTGCTTCATTCTTCAGTTTTCAAACTGTATTGGACCTCAGAATCACTTGTAATTGATCAAAACAAAAACTGATTTCAGGGTATCACTACTAAAAACGCTGATTCTGTATGTCAGAGTTGGTCATGGTCCAGGAACCTGCATTTTATCAAGCACCTCAGAGGATTTTGTTTGTCCAGTGATGACCAAGTCTTGAGAAACCCTGCACCTTGGATACAAAAAAATACCATGCTTATTTTTTATTATTTTTCTGGTCAGTAACAAAGGAAATCAAGCTGTTCTTTGAGCTTCAGTGCTGGGGGCAGGTGGAGAGTATTGTTTGTCTGAAACCCTGCACCTTGGATACAAAAAAATACCATGCTTATTTTTTATTATTTTTCTGGTCAGCAACAAAGGAAATCAAGCTGTTCTTTGAGCTTCAGTGCTGGGGGCAGGTGGAGAGTATTGTTTGTCTACTGACTAGACAGTGGTTTTTATATAGCCACCATCATAGAATACAGCTGTTCTAATATCCATTTTCTTGTTTGAATTTTTATTTTATTTTTTTTAGTTAAAGGCACTCATTCACATATCCCAAAGAGGCTCTTTTCCTGTGGCTAGTGTGATCAAAGTGAATGCTGTAGGAACTGAGACTCTCTTGTTTGAATTTTTATTTTATTTTTTTTAGTTAAAGGCACTCATTCACATATCCCAAAGAAGCTCTTTTCCTGTGGCTAGTGTGATCAAAGTGAATGCTGTAGGAACTGAGACTCAAGTCCACAGGTTGCTTGGACTTTAGACTTTGTCAGGAGCCAGCAGATGGCAGCAGTTCAACACAGAGGTTTATCGAGGCGTTGTACTTCCAAGGATGTTTAACTTACAGATTTACAGTCCTCAATTTTAGAGAAATGTCAATTGGGAGAGGTGTGCTTAGGAAGTAGAAAATGCCTTTGGAAAGAAAAAAAAGGTGTTTAAAATTTGGTTATTATGTCATCATTCTATATGGCATCATGGCTCATTTTATAGTAATGTGTTCAGATTTTTAATATTTAGGGAATTTTATCTGAAATAATTTTTTTCCTGTTTACTTGAAAAGCTAGTTTTTTTCTGCTGCTTCAGAAAAGCATCTTGGTGCCTTTTTAGTTTGCACTTAACGGTCCAAAGGACAGTTACTGGATTCCATTTGTAAGAATGTATTTGTGAGGCTGTGTCTTGGAGTAACAGGTTACAACCACTTGTCAGTCCAGCTCAGTTGCATGCCAGTATGTTCACCTGTAAGCCTGAATCTCAGCTTATTTTCGACAGTTGAGTTTATTAATAGGGAGCCACTTATTTAACTGGTTAAAGAAAAAAATAAAAGGGAGGGGTAAGTTCTTAGGACTGTGTGTTTAATGCATTATTGAAAGCTTTATGTTACATAAAGACATAACTCAAACGGCAATTGATTAAAAACACCCTTTCTTAAAGCTTTAGCAAAAAAAAAAAAAAAAAGAGGACGGGGGAGAAAGAAAAAAGAAGATTTTTATACTCTTTTCCACATAAAGTTAACGGTTGTTAGTGATGAAAGACTTTCTCCAGAAAAAGATCACTTCCTTTTAAAAGGGCAAAATTTTCTAAATGTCAGTGTCTAATAATACTGGTAAATGGTATCCTTACCTAATTTTGCTTGACAATTTTTTAAAACTTGAGTAGCCCTTTTCATGAATGTATATGTATTAGAAAAATACTTTGTTAGTTCAAAGCTTCCTTTCTTGTAAGTGCACCCAAGAGGGCCCCAAACTCCTGTTCAGAGATGTTTTTTATAAATATATACAGTTAATGTATTAATTCTTGTTCACTATTTATTTATGTCATTTATATATAATATATGGGCATTATAATTTTTCTGTATTACTTCTTATTGACTCAAGAATCTTAATTAAAAATACTACATAGTAGCCTGAAGGAAAACTGAATATGGTTAGTAACATTCAAAGTGGAGTTTTTCTTTGGAAGTTGTGGGTATTCTAAATTTCATTGAGATCTGAAATAGCATGTGTTCAGAAAAACTTGGGAAATGGTTTCCTCTCAAGAAAATGTGGAATAGGGGAGAGGACACCAGCTTCTGAAATAGGGTCGACCAGGATTTGAATCTTGAGTTTCAGGCAAATTATTTAGTCTTTTTGGGGCTGGCCAGTTGCTCAGTTGGTTAGAGTATGGTGCCAATAACACCAAGGTCCAAGGTTTGATCCCTGTCCTGGCCAGCCACCAAAACAAAAAATAAATAAATAAATAGATAGTATTTACTCTTTTTGCACCTCTCTATTTTCTTAGAGTGGGGATAATAATTTCAACTTCACAGGGTTTGTGATGATTGAATGGGATGGCAAAATGTCAAAGCTCTTATTTATTACAGTGCTTGTGCATTATAGTCATACAGGAAGGTCTAACGTTCATCAATGTAATTTTAATTCTTCTGCAAATCAGCTGCAAAATATTACCTCAGAATGATTTTCAACATCTTTGAACATGGTTACATAAACCCTTTTTGTGAGAAGAAAACAAAGTGATTGGGTGAGACCTGGACATTTTAGATGCCAATTATATAAAGCATTATTATGAGGACACTTAATAAAACTGTTAGTTGAGGTTATTCAGAAAAATTTAATGCTATAATTTAGGGTTTACAGAAGAAAATATTTTATTGCTTATAGTTCAGTTCAAATTAAAATGTCCCTTGAGAATTAGATTTCAAAAGTCAGAAACATTTAGGTTGCTTTCACTTTAACTATAATTTAATTCAAGTAAAAGAGGCACTGTGTGTTTCTTTTGTGTTTTAATTTAACTAATTTTTGTTTCACATTTATATACTTGAGTATCTTAATCATTCTATTGCATATTATACCCATTTACCTGATAATTGATTTCTGAAAACCTCAGTCATGTGTAACCATTTATTTCAAAGAAAATGGCTTAAAATGTTTATAATTGTATATAAAATGAGGAATAGTCATTTAACAGGTTTAGCCCTGCATTCTTCCTTATAATGGTTTACTAGATTAGATGCAGTGAGAGGCATGTAGTGGAGATGACTGTTTTGAGGAAGGAATTCCATTTTCTCTTATTAAAATTTTCAAAATTATGTTTATTACACATAAATTGCTTGATGTAAATAAAGGTAGTGTATTTGAAACAAAGGAAAATTTTGCTTTACTCCCGATCTTTCCTACCACCAGTCACACTTCAATCTTATTTTCCTTTCTAATGGTAAACATTATTAACAGGTCAGCATGTGTCTATCTATATTTTACTCTGTGCTGTCATATCACAACATTTGTTTGAGCATGTATGGATTTATATTGCACATATTTTGTGTCTTATTTTGTTTTAGTTAGTATATTGGAGATCTTTTTATGTCAGTGTTATAAATTCATCTCAGAATGTTTAACAGATATTTGGTATTCCATAGATATAATTAACCATTCCCTGTCAGTACTCTCCAAAGACACCAGGCACACATCTGTGGTTGAACAAGTTGGATTTATTACTTCTTGCTGCAAGGGAGAACACACACCATGAGGAACCACAGAATGTCTCAGAAGAGGATTTAAAAACAGGATGATATAGGATTTGGCTAGTGTTGTGTGATTGTTGTGGGGGAAATTAGAAAGTAAGGCTTTACTCTGTTTTGGATACTTTCAAGAAACTGGAAAATTTTGTGATGGGTATCTAATAAGTCTCATCTAGAAGGAGAGAAGACTAGACTGAGGCTTAAGCTGTAATTAGTGAAGAAGCTACAGCTGCCTGGACGAGGGTCATATTTATAGCTTTCACAATGTTCATGTTTTATCTGTGTTCACGTATCATTATGGTGTGACACTATTTTTGTCCTGCTCCATCATGGTTGCACAGTAGCCTTGTCTGGCATTTATGTTTATGTTTATGTGCCAGGCCAACTTACAGCAAAACCAAGGCTTGGCTGATACTACTAGCCCAGCTCCATAATGTCATAGGCTGCTTTTTTCCTGCTCACTCTTGATAAACAGCTAGGTTGTTTTTTAGTTTTTATTGGCACACTTTTTCATTGTTAAAATGAACATCCTTGTTACATGGATCTTTGTGTACATGTGCAAGTATTCTTACAGAACACATTCCTACAAGTGAAATTGTATCAAAGGGTACATAAAACACCATTAAATTTGAATTATAATCATTCCAAAAAAAACTTGTACTTATTTGCATTCCAACCAACAGGGTATTGTAGCCAAGAAAATTAGATTACTCTATGGTATTAATTATCTATTGCTGTGTAACAAGTTTGAAATTTAGTTATTTCAAACAATAAATGTTTATCATCTCACACAGTTTCTGTGGTCAGAAATCAGGAAGTAGTTTAGGTGGGTGGTCTGGCTCATGAAGTTGTAGCCAAGATGTCAGCCAGGACTGTAGTCATGTGAAAGCTTGACTAGGGCTGAAAGATGCATTTCCAAAATGATTTATTCAGGATATTAGTTATTAACAGAAAATGAAGTTGTAGCCAAGATGTCAGCCAGGACTGTAGTCATGTGAAAGCTTGACTAGGGCTGAGAGATGCATTTCCAAAATGATTTATTCAGGATATTAGTTATTAACAGAAGCCCTCACTTCTTCCCCATGTGGTCTGTCCACAGTCATCCTCACAAGATGGTAGCTAGCCTCCCTCAGAGCGTACACTCCGAAAGAGAGTAAGGTAGAAGATGTAAAGCCTGTTGTGACCTGGTCCTAGAAGTCACATACCATCTGTCATATCTACTGTATTTTATTTGTTAGAAGTGAAGCAATAGTACAGCTCATACTCAAAGGGAGGGGAATTAGGCTCCAATTCTTGAAGTTGAGAGAAAATACTACACCGCTGATATTTATTTTGTGTGTGTGTGTAGATCAAGGAAGAGGAAGGGATTCATTTATAATGTTTGGCTTCTTTTTAGGACACTGCTTTAGGAAAACCACGAGAGGTATTTCGACTTCCCACAGATTTGACAGCATGTGACAATCGTCTTTGTGCATCTATTCATTTCACATCTTCTACCTGGGTTACCTTGTCAGATGGAACTGGAAGATTGTATGTCATTGGAACAGGGGAACGTGGAAATAGTGCTTCTGAAAAATGGGAGGTGAGGGTTTTTAATTTTTTTTTAAGACTTATACAAAGTGCAGAAAGTATATGTAAATTGGACCTTATTTATTTTAAAATAACACTTTTACAAGGATAGTTTGCATGTGATCACTTGGTTTTTCTGATATATAATGTTTTGGATCTCTTTTTAATTAAATTATAAAATATATACCTTTTACATA